TCTGGGGATATTGTGAATAAAGGTATGATAAACATAAGAGATACCTTGACCCCCCCAAAAAAAAAATTACTGATACATATTGTGTACGATCTTAATCATTCCAGATGTTTTTCAAGTAATCAAATGACTGTCTTTTAAGGTAGAACATAATGCAGAATTTGAGAATAGCAGGCAAGCCTCTAAACAAAGAGCTCATTTAGTTCTACAGTAGAAACTGAACTTATTACTATGTATCCTTTATTACACATCCTTTCAAAAAGCCTGTACATCCTTTCAATAAGCCCACAGAAATAACTGAAATTGTTCTCTCTCGCTGTCTGTTTTGTACAACACTCATAAAATTTATTTTTTTCTATTGTAAAACTTACACAACATAAAATTTACCATTGCAGCCACATTTAAGTGTATTGCTCAGTGGCATTAAATGCATTCACATTGTTGTGCAGCTGTCACAAAAGCTTTATTTTAGGTGTAGCTGCATCACATTTTCAGATTTTTTTTTTTTTGGTGTTTAAATGCATATAGAAAAGTCCATATAGAATAAGCATATAGCTTGATAATTCATCGACTGCACACAGTCGTGTAAGCAGGACTCACATCAAGTAACTGTGCATTAACAGCACCCCAGATTTCTGCCCCAACATACATGTGCTAAATAAATATTTGTTGAACGTATCAATAAGTGGACAAAACATGTATATCTCTGCCCCTGAAGAACTTTAACTTCAAGACGTATAAGATATTAAAGCAAAGATCAATCAAATTTTTCTCAGTGAATGCCACTGTTAGTAGGAAATCCCCACTAAAGTCTTTGGGGGTAACGAGAGCCTTTACTCTCAAGCTATTCATCAAAAAAAAAAAACAAAAAAACACTTTCTTGGTATGATTCTTGTTACTATTTCCATATGTTTGAAATTGCTTAAAAAAGAAGAAAAGATCTTCAAAAGCCTTTGATATGTCCAAAAATGGCAGGTAGAATTAAAATTCCTCAGTGTTTTACATTACCCTTCCTTGGACTTAATTTGCATCTGTATAATGTATGAGTCATTGTTTTCCCACATGTCATTTACAGAATGTAGAGCTGTTGTCATCCTGATACTTTTATTCATAGTCTGATCGTTACCTCTTAATATCTGATTTTTGTCCTCATTCCATGTGTCATTTATTATTGATGGTCTTTTAACAGCTGTCTCAGTGTTCAGACAATCCATGAATACAAATTTGCTGTATGCTGTGTTTCATTTGTTCAGTTTTTAAAGTATATATCTATTTTCCTCTCCTTTTCTACTCCCATGTCTACTTTTCTTATATATAGTATGAATTTCTGGTAGTTTGTTTTCAAATTCTTATCTTTTATGCCTGTGTGTGTGTACACTAAGTATGCATAGAACACATAAATTATCAGATACTTTTTTATTAAGTAATACTTTTAAAAATGAATTTTTGGTTTGACAACATAAATCACTGGGATGATTCTAGACTTACTTGAACAGGAGATAATTATTCAAGAACATGAGGATATAGTTTAAGGACTGGGTAAATAGGTGGCATATACCATCAAATTTGTATTCATAGATTATCTAAACCCTGAGATGGCTGTTAAAAAATATAATAATAATGAATGCACAAGAAACAAGGGCAAAAAATTGGATGTTAAAACATAATGATCAGGGCTAGGAATAAAAAGCAACAGGGTGACAACAGCTCTATATTCTTTAACTGACATGTAGGGAAACAATTATTTAAATGGAAGAATCTGTCCATCTGGAAACACACAGTCTTATTTCATAGAGAATGGACACAAGCCTTAAAGAAAAATCAAATTTTGAATCTCAGATTTGCCACCTATAAAATAAGACTTTGAGTGTTGTTCTCTCGCATTTAGTGATGCCATTTGGGGGACTTTAAATCAGCTGTAGTGGGAATATTTACACCAGGGAAATTTGCAACGTGTTTCCTCTCTCCCAGTAGCTGGCTTATCAGCATACTCACCATGGACATTGACATAGCACCTGAGAATGGCAACAGGAACAAACCAACGTAAGGCAGAGAGAACAATCTCTTTCCAATGCACTGTTTTTTGGCCTTTTCTTCTTCTCTGTAACTGTGGAAAGAATGTTTAAGATGAGATCTCCTCTCATGACAAATTTTTAAGGACACAATATATTTTTGTTGACCATTGGTACAATATTACATAGCAGGTCTCCAGAGCATATTTATCTTGCTTAACTGAAACTTGTAGTATTACTTTGTTGAAATTAACACTATGTGTAATTGTGTGTGTGTGTGTTCATGGTTTAATGTCTATACCCATCTACACACACTCCTCACCAGACTGTAAAGTCCAAGAAATACGAATTATTTTCAACTCACCAACACATGTCAACTTCCTATTTTTAGTCCCTAACCTCATAGTAGGTATTTTATAGAATATATTTTGAAAGAATGTGTAACATATTTAATTGGCAACTGATATAATTATTTATAGATTTACAGTACAATAGTTTTGAAATTCTTTACTCACTGACTCCATACTGTAATTTCCTTTTTTAACTTGTGGTTCAAATAAAATGAAAATCATAGCTTCTAGAAGAGGTTCTGTGACAATATGAAAGCATCAATTCACAAATCTAGAAATTTAGCTGTCTACTTTTGCATGTCTCTCTAGCTAAAAATTGCCTTCATATTTTTAAATGGTTTAAAGAAATCAGAAGAATGATATGTTGTGATGCATGAAAATTATAGGAAACTCAAATTTCAGTGCCCATAAATAAAGTTTCATTGAAATAGTCACATTCATTCATTTATGGATTGTCTATGGCTGGTTTTACCCTAATAACTATATAGTGAAGCTGTTGCAACAGAGTCTGTAAAACATAAAATAAATACTATCTATCTCTTCACAGAGAAAGCTTGCCAACTCCTTCTGTAGAACATCATACTCTTATTGAACTGCTTCCAATGTTGAATTTACTTCTGAATGAAGTGTTCCTTCTATGGTGAAACAGCTAAATTATAATAAACACTTCCATTATATTGAGAAAAATATTATCACCTGCACATTTTATTAACAAGGCCATAGATTATTATTGGATTGAGAGCTTGATCTCTTTAGCCAAACTGATTTAGGTGGAATCCTGGCACTGCTCTCTTCCAACCGTGTGTTGGAGCAGAACAAGTTACTTTAACTTTCTGTGTCTCATAAAGCTACACCTTAGAATTGTGAATGTTAAACCAATGTTAATATTTGCATATTAGTTTTTGTTGCTATATTATAGTTTCTACAGGTAGGTGCATATAATTTTTTTTTCCTAGAGAGAGGATCCATAACTGCTACTGAATAACTGCTACTGAACCTAATGTGGGCCTGCCTGCCCAGTGCAGCAAAGCCGCATGCTGACATCGAGATTTTGCACTGAGAGAAAGTGAGGTATTTCTTGTAGGGCATCAAGCAATGAGAATACGGTAGCTAATGCTTAAGATTCTAATTCCCCGCAATGGTTTAAATGTAATGATTGTTAAAAGATGGGAGGCAGAGGTTATGGGCAAAGTTATAAACCAACACATGGAGGCCATTTATGGATTTGACCTAAAAATATGGGACATCTTGAAGCAGAATGTCACAGGTAATAGGGAGATATAAAGAGTCTCTGATTTATAATTGGTTAAGGAAGTAAAGCTTTGTCTAAAAACTTGGAGTCAGCAGAAATAATGTTAAGTTCTGGCTTATGGATATTACTTCCTCCAGCCCTCTCAGGAAGAAATTTAGAACATTGGGTCAGCAGATGGCATTTTCCAATTGGAGGGGGTCCAGGTCTCTGAAAACTCAGGAACATATGTTAAGATGTTAACTTTGGTTTCTACAAGGAAACAAACATTTTGTGTCTCTAACTTCCTTGGCAATGATTTTAAGTGATTACTACCTTCTTGCTTATCAGGTTTCTCATTTACTTTTCAAAGCTACACAGGTGCCTCAAATCTTTCTTGAAGAAAATCAAGATTTTCCTTTATTTTCATGCTTGGCTGGGCCCAGCTGAACTCTAAGAGGAGTCCCTGCTATACTCATAACTTTTTTCATACTCATGAATGTGTCTTGGATTCTCAAAAAGTAGAATTCTTGCCTATTAAACGTGTACCTGTAATGCAGCAAAATCTTCCATACCCCTTGTACCCAGGGGAGATTAAAACTTTGACTTCAGGCCGGGTGCGGTGGCTCAAGCCTGTAATCCCAGCACTTTGGGAGGCCGAGACGGGTGGATCACGAGGTCAGGAGATCGAGACCATCCTGGCTAACAGGGTGAAACCCCGTCTCTACTAAAAAATACAAAAAATCAAAAAAAACAAAAAAATAAAAACAAAAAAACTAGCCGGGCGAGGTGGCGCGTGCCTGTAGTCCCAGCTACTCGGGAGGCTGAGGCAGGAGAATGGCGTAAACCTGGGAGGTGGAGCTTGCAGTGAGCTGAGATCCGGCCATTGCACTCCAGCCTGGGCGACAGAGCAAGACTCCGTCTCAAAACAAAAAAACAAAAAAACAAACAAACAAAAAAAACTTTGACTTCAAAAAATACTCTGAGGTTCCCTTCGCCTGAGATGTCTGCTGAGCATATTTTCAAGAAATATGCTTAGAGAATCATCTATTTTTCTTTCTGAAACTGATTTTTGCAATCCAAACATTACCTTATTTCCAGAATGTAAAACCAAGTTCATTCTTCTGCCTTGCCCCTTCCTCTTCAGAAATTATAGCCACTATATTGAGAGATGGTATTACTCTCTAAAGGTAAAACTCTTCCTGTCAGGGACCGCAGTCATTTCCAAGGCGACCCAAGTAATGTGCAGGGACAGAGTTGCTCTCTTTTCTTCTTTCTCATTGGTTGTGGTAGGGGAGTGGGCAGGTAGGGTGAAGTGCAAGATTTCTGAACAGATACTATCATCGTACTTAGGGAAAATAAGATGTGAAATAATGTTACCTTGATTCTTTTTTTTTTTTTTTTTTTTTATCTTCAGTGATGCTTCTTATCTTTATTCAGGGAATTCAGGTAATATTCAGCTCCTACAGCTACCACAAATGCAGCAAATCCCCACTTGAATCCTTTAAAGAATACATCAAAAAAGGAAACACTCTTTGCAAAGCCGCCCATGTATCTCCAAGCTTCATTGCGGCCCCATGGATCCCTTAGCCCTTTTGCAGCCAGCTTCTTCTGGATATCTTCTGTCCGGTTGCAGAGTTGAGTGTCCTGAGAGGTCAGATTGAATTCAGACATGGCCCATGGACATGGACATGAACATGGACACCATAAAATGGAACTTCCAGATTATAGACAATGGAAGATAGAAGGGACACCATTAGAAGATATCCTTGATTCTTATAGTTACCTCTGTTGGCTATCTCAAAAACAGTTTGAACATTGTAAGGACTGTTACCAAATGAAAAGTACTTTTAAGACCTGTATTGAATTCAAAACTATTTCTACACCCTAGCATTCCATATCACAATAAGACATAGAACCACATAGTTCTTCACATAAGAGAATGGCCCAAGCAAAGCAGGAGGATGTGTAATTTGAGTGTTAGATGAGCCAACACTGTTTGATGTAAGGCAAAGAGGGAGATACAAACAAAGAATTTTTAAAAATATCTTCCAACATAGCCTAAATTAGTGTCTGTAATCCTACTGATGAAGGATTTTTTGCTCCTTCGTTCAGCTAAATCTGGGTTCTTGTCTCATGATTGGGAAAAAATAGGCATACAGGCACATTGCAGGGTGAGGAGGGTGGAATTTATTAAGCAAAAGGAAAGCTCTCAGCCAAGAGAGGGGTCCTGCGGGTAGGTTTCCACCTCACAATTGAATACCAGTGCTCCCACACATGAGCTGAAGAGGCTAGGATCCTCCCCAGCACACAGTATGAATTCCTGGTGGCTGCACCCAGGTCTCCCAGTGTGCATGTGGGCTTAGTCTGAACCACTCCACATTGATTTGTTTCCGTTGCTGCCAATGTGTTAAGGGACAGAAGTTTTCACCATGGGCATGTTTAGGTGAGCTCCCTGTGGATAATGACCTGGACAGGTCAGAGGTTCTCCAGGGACACTTTCCTATCTGCCTAGGCATTTGGCTGTCGCCTGCCTCTATTACTGCCTTTTGGCTTCATTCCTTGACTTGTCCCACTCCAATTTTGATATGCAAGTATCTATATTGAAAGATAAGACACATTTACCAATGATTTATCAGAACAGCAGAACTCAATCACTTTTCTGTGGCTTGTTAAAGGCTTCTCAGAACCTTGATCCTCCGTATCTAATTCTACCCTCAGCTTTTACATGAATCAGACTCCCGTCAGTCTGGAATACAGTCAATCCAAATGAGCCCAAGGCATTCTGGTCCTGATCTGGCAATCACTGCTTGTTGATCCCCATCATACTTATCTCCCCCATCCCCTAACTTACTTTGATTTCACATGAACTCATTGCCTTTTTCTTTCTAGTTTATGACCTTATGGAAAAAACATAGTACACACATGAAACAGATAACCAACCACTTAATACTTTAAGCTTACTCAGCAACAGGAAAACATGAAAATAAGAGAAACCAAGTTCATTGAGGCCTAGGTTAGTATTAGTATTCCATAAAAATGGAAGCACTTTGAGTTTAATAAAATGACATCTAATTCCTTGTTTGTTTTGTTTTGTGGATGATTTATATAGACCTTCATTACAGCACTGATTGTATTTCATCACCTATGTGACTTTTCCTATACTTTCTGAATTCTTTTCTCAGCTGTACAGGCTGCCAGTTTAGTAGTTTTTTTGAGTAGTCATGTGTTCCTCTTATATTTTTGTACACCTATTCATCTCTCATAGTGCTTGACACCAAGTAGGTGCATAAAATACAAGTTTATTTAATCAAAACATGTGCATACTTGGACTGGGCAAATGGAAGAGAGAATTTCTCATGTTCTAAGTTTCCACTGCTGACAACTGGAAAGAATTGAAGTGCACATATAGAAGAAGACAGCATTTTATTTCAAGGCTTCTCACAGTAGGCACATGGGAAGCTTTCACTCTGATTCATTGTAATACCTCATAATTATTCATTCACTCTCAGAGTTGACATTCATCCTGTGCGGAAATGTTGTCCGCACTTTCTCTTGATTAAACAGTTGTCTTAGTTGTCCTCTGTCATTTTTCTAGTAGGGATACTTGTTTGAAACAATGAATCCAGAAATTCTAATTCTCTTCCTCTCCATGTAACCTGGCCACTTGGGAATTTTTGTTGCCAATTCTAGTCTTTTCAGGTCAATTGCATTGTTCATGCTGCCCAGGATGCAGTAGAGAGAAATGTTGTAAAGCAGGACTTGGGCTTCAGTGATGAGTGTTGGCTCATCCTCTCCAGCCTGGAGCAATGGGTTGTTCATAAACTTTCAGATATCATGATAAGATTGTTTCCTTGATAGTTTTCATTTATATATTCCTAAATTCTTGTTCTCTAGTGGAACAGAGACATTTTTACAATCTGGTTGATAAAATATCGGGAATATGCAGGAAAACCTCAGATTGTGTTTACAGAACAGTGGTTATAAGTAAGGGTTTCTGTGTAAGAACAATCTGAGTTTGAATCTCAGTCTGTCACATAATAGTTCTATGACTTCAAAATATGCGGCTTAACCATTTTAAGGTAACCTTGCAAATAAAATTAGGCTAAGTGCTTGAAAAGTGTTTTTTAGTATTCACTGGGATTTTTGATGATGATGTTACTGTTACTTTAGTTTCATTTTCTATAAAATGAGGATAATGTTTCTGCCTTAAATATTTGTAATGGTATTTTATTAATATTATTTATAATTATTGGCTGGGCATAGTTGCTCATGCTTGTAATCCCAGTACTTTGGGAGGCCGAGGAGGGTGAATTGCTTGAATCCAGGAGTTTGAGACCAGGCTGGGCAACATAGTGAAACCCCATCTCTATGAAAATACAAAAATTCAAAAAATTAGCCAGGTGAGATATATTTATTAATATATATATTTATATATCCTTATATGTATATACATTTTATATATTATATATAATGTATTTTATATATCATAATATATTTTTATATTTTATATTGTGTATTTATATAATATATATTTATAATATATTTGTTATATATAATATATTTATATATTATATATTTATATTATATTATATATTTATTATATGTATATTTATATATTATGTATGTATAAACTTACATATTATATGTATATATTTATAAATATATGTTAATATATATTATATATTTATATGTTGCATATTTATATATTATATATATTTTTATATATATATAGATCTCATACCTTTATTGTGGTATGATTAATATATAAAAACTTGCACATGTTTAATCTGTACAATTTGATGAAATTGGATATATGCATATATCCGTGATGTCATCACCACAATCAAGATAACATATCCATCACCTCTGAACATTTTCTTGTGCTTCTTTGTTTTTTAATATTTTTGCTATAGCAATATTTAACATGAGATGTTCCCTCGAAACATTTTTAAATGCACACTATATTGTTAACTATAAAAACGATATTATATAGCAGATATCTAAACTTATTCATCTTGTATAACGGCAACTCTATATTAATTGAATAACATATTGCCATTTTCTCCTCCCCTATCTCCTGGCAACCACCATTCAATTTCCCACTTCTGTAATTTTCACTATTTTTGATGTCTCTTATACCTGGAATCATGTAACATTTGTCCCTCTGTGCCTGGCTTATTTCACTTAGCATAACATCTTCTAGGTTCATCCATGTTTTCACAAATAATAGTATTTCCTTCTATTTTAGATTGTGATGTCTGGACATGGTAAATATTTAATAAATAGGCTCAATTTCATATTAAGGTCTAGTTTACTTCTAGTTTTCTGTTTTTCCAATTCTTATTATCTTAATTCTCATAAATGACTCATCCATAAAAACAGGTGTGTAGGAATACCAAGTATATAAGCTTAAGCATTTTCCATCAGGAATTACCCAAGGCCATCTACCATTTGTTCTTGTAGCATTATTCAAATTAGCTAAGATAGAGAAATAAACTGTTCCTTAATGGAGGCATAAAGGAACTATGATATATACGTATCAAATTCAGTCCTTAAAATGAATGAGACCTTTAAAAAAATTTGTCATTACACATTTTATAAATTGTCATGAACATTCCTTTGTCCACTTCCCTCCCCATCTGTCCTCATAATATTGTAACTAAAGAGCTCAGCACAGTACCTCATGCACAGGTAGAATTGAATAATACCATGGGGATAATTTTCTAACCACACCATTAGAGAGAAAAGTAAAACATATTTTTATTGTGGACCATAGTGACTATCTTTATATTACCCTGGGCATGAAAATCAGACTGGAATTAAATTTTCTAAACAGTAACTTCCAGGAGTTTCTTTCCGAAGCAAAGCATTTTCCAGATTGAATGAATCCTTTGGTGACATAAAACCATCTTTTGTTGGTGGAAAAATGTTTATTGCATACAGTAGTATGCAAAAAACTATGTTAGTTGTTACAAGAAAAAGAAAAAAATATTATATATTATCCTACCTAAAAATATATTGCAATATATTGGGTTAGGTAGATTTGCCTATAGACGTAATAGGTGGCATGATAAAACTGACAAATTGTGCTCTTGGGAGAAGAAACTTCTAATATGTACTTGGAAATTTAGGAAGACCTCACAAAATATTAGTATTTTAGCTAAGCATGGAACATTTCATAGGATTTCACTCAGTGAAGGAAAGGATATGAAAAAATAGCATCAGTATGATCACAAGGTTTGAAAATTGGTCTGAATAATTAGAAAATTAGAATGCCAATGTGAGTTAAGTTTGATGAGAGCTGAGTCTGAGATAGACTGAAGCCAGCCAAGCAGCATGACGGTCGTGCTGAGCTGTACATGTGCTACTAAATCTATCGATTTAGACCTTAAAGCATTTTCCCAGAAAAGTAGAACACTGATAAAAGCTGAGTGATATAACTTGTCTTCAAAAATTCTTTTGAAAAGTTAGAACGCACTCCAATTAAGTGACAGATAATAAATTATGGACTAGAGTCTTTATTAATTTTTGCCAGTTTTTAATTAATGATATAAAAGAATACTGCTACTGAAGGAAGGAGAGAGGACTCATTTATAAAGAGTATCCTCTTGTGTTCTCATCTAAAAATAATGAGACTCTGGAGAGTAAGACATTTTTGATTTGGGGTTCCA